TGGAAAACACAGTAATGAAAACAGAAGTCCTGTTTCTTAAAATTTGCAGCTATGGATCACCCAGTTTCTGAAATGAGTTATTCAAGACCATCTGTTATATATTGAGAGCCAGTTCTAAGCCCAAGTTGTAGGGATTTCTTTGGTGCATGTGTTTAGAGAGAGGTTATGTTTTGAGTAAAAAGCATTTGCTCTATTCTGAAGTAATCCTACTCTTCAAACTACTTGTTTTTGTTCTGATTTGTAGCATTATGTGGCATGACTTTGATCATTGGTGTGCACAAGATCAGTTGCCAAATGTACAGATTTCTCTTGTTTTCCTCTTTGTTGAAGATGCATTGTATAATCCAAAATACTTTGGACTGTGGTTTGCAGGAGAACTTTGCAATGTAGTTTTCCACCTACGGCACTGGCACTGGCCAGGTGGATGCTGGCACACTGCACCATTCTGATGTTCACATCTTAAGAAAAAACTGGAGAGGAGCCAGAAAAATTATTTAAGAAATGGAGAAAATGCCCAACAATGAGACGCCTTCCCCGCCCCCTTGTGCCACCAGAACAGATTTATGGTGGCACAAAACCCTAAGCAAACAGACATCTGGGCTCCTTGTTGGGGCACAAATGTGCAGAATCATGGCTCTGACAATTTGCAGTAATAGTTTGTGCTGCCTTTTCGCAGCAGCCGCTTGTTTTGTTCACTTATGGGTTCCCCACTTATAGATGTGGGGCATGGTAGCGTGAAACGTGCGCCTGGAACCCCCTGCAAGGGATTCCCAAGGCATGTGTATCGTTCTGCTGCACCCCAACCTGGGGCATGCTTCTGCAAGCGGGGAAGCCCCTATGGGCATGGGGAGGGGCGCATCCTGAGTCAGGGCATGACACCTAAGGCTGTTGTCCGACAGGATCAGGCCCCCGAAGCCCCAGGTGATGTGTGTAGGTGCCAGTGAAGCAGATCGGCTGTGCTGGGACAAAGCCTGACACGGATAATCCCACTCGGAAAACAGCATCTGTTTATAGCCTTAGTGAGAGCTTGACCAGTTTAACTTGCCAAAAAGAAGACAGATGGGGGACTGGATGGCAGTGCCATCTGTGAGGAGCAAGTTCCCAGGGAGTCTGACAACTTACCTTTGAAACTATTCTGCGTGGGTGTAGGTGCGCCTTGGGACAGGAGCCCCCATTAGCCTACCGTTCTGTGGTTGTACTAAAGGGCTCTGGACAGAGGCTGTAATGGAAAGAGGGGTACCAAGAACTAAAGGCTGGTGGCCAGCTGAGATGAGATGCATTGTAATGGGAAACAAGGCACGGCGTGCAGTTAACCACAGGGAGAGTGGGGCTTCTCCATCCCTCTATCTTAAAATCCAGACTTAGATGCCTTTCTGGAAAACACAAGTAATTGGGCTCAGTGCTAGAGTCCCAGGAGTAGTTCTGTGGCTAAAGATATGCAGGAAGCCAGGTCACATAATCTGATATTCCCTTCTGACCTTACATCTTATGCATTTATGAGGTCAGGGCAGTTGAATGACACATTGGAGGCCCTGTGACAAAAAGCCTGGAGAAGTTAATTGACATCGGTGGGTGGGAAAGTATGGGGTGTTGGCAGTGCCAACCATGTGAAACAAGTCAGGAGGATCAAATTTATAGACGGGTTTAAAGGAAATGGCCTGTTTTTAAATCTGATCCCATAGCAGATGGAGGGATCTGAGAGGGGAGAGATGCAATCAAGTCAATAGACAAGAGGAAAGGATTTCACAGATCAGAGTTTGTAATTCTTTAAATAAAAATGCCTGAGTGCATTGAGCCAAGAATTATTTAGTTGGTCTAATAAAAGATATCGCATTTACCCACAGATCCTTGTCTGCCTTGAGACAAGAAGTATTTTGAACGTTTTTACCCCCAAATCTGACTTGCCTGAAGTGTCTGAGCTATGCTCCATGTGTGTCCATTTTAGATACCCCGCCCATGGGACCTTGAAATAAAACTAAACTAGTAAGATTAAGAATGGCATAACTAATTATTTTAAGAGCTTTGCTCTTAATCTGTGTGGTGCAGTGCCCAGTAAAGCTTTGCAAATACTGTGAACTGCCCACGCGTTGTTTTTGTTGAAATGTTCTGTGGGACCTTTCCTCAAGTCAAAGGATAATATTCAAGGACCAATAATGCCTTTTGTTTTACAGGTGAACAGTGTGCACTCCTAAACGAAGTTCAGTTTCCTTCAGCGAAAATTTTCTAGGTTCAGATATTACATTTATGCTTGACTGTAGCTTTCAAATGTGCTGCCCTGGGGGCAAATGGCAGCAATAAGGTTGCAGTCCCATTTTGATGTTGTCCCCATGATATTCATCATCTGCCTTTCCTGGGGTGACAATGAGGGAGTTGGGTGTGTTTTGAGGACTCTTTCTGTCCAAATGCGTCTTTTTGGCCAAAGTAAGTGGTAGGGTAACAGGCACATTTAGATGGCTCCCTATGCCTGTCAGAAATATGCCAGCTTCAGGCTGGGTCTGAAACTCATTTTGATGGGTTCTCCTTACTACCAAGCTGCCTGCTTTTGTTTGCACACTCCTTTGCACGCCATATCATGCAGTGTGTGTTCAGGCTAAAGTTGCACATTGTGAACAGAAAGAGACTGGATGAGAGAGGGTTTTGGGTGGGTTATTCTGCCCTGTGTCCATTCTCATGTCATGGCAGAAACTAAGGCTTGATTCGGTATTTTTGAGAAAATGAAATGCTTGCTAATATTCAGGGCAAATGGTCAGAATGAGCTGACATTCACTGGTTCCTTACCAGTGAGCATCTGCACTTACCTTTTATCTACTCATTAGTTGCGTTCAGGAAAATGTTCAGTTGTTCACTGATTATTATTATTTTTTACGGGCACTGTCCTTATGGTGTGATGTGTTAAAATTAAGCCTTTTAGAAATCTGTCCTGGAAGGGTACAAACACGGGAACTAAAATAATGGGATTATTTTTCAAACACAAAACTGGACGCATGCATAACTGATTGCAGGGCTACAACCAGAGAAGTTTCTCAGAGTGTGCAGTACAGATCCGTCTAAAGTCCTCACTTACTAGCACTTGTTTTCAGAGTATCCATGGTTAGAGTCCACGGTGCCTTTTAGAAAAACAACAAATGAGAGATGTGATTTTAATTTTGAATGCCAAATGCTTAGAATTCCACTAAAGAAAAAGAAAATAATTCCTCTTTTCCTGAGAGAATCCATTGTTTCCAGTCCTTTAAAAAACTGGTGTCTTCATACTCTGTGATTTGCTACTGCTGGGGAGGTGGGGTGAAAAATCGTATAACTGGAATGAAAATCCTGTTTCCAGACATTTGTTAAAAGCAAAACAATTTTTGTTCTAATCCTGCTTTTTTAAAAATCAGAAACATCTTGTAAGAAATTACTTTATTGTAATTAATTTCAGCCAAAGGGCTAGTAAAGTTTTGTAGTACCAGTGTATTTTTGCATTACTGAAGTTTGCCAGCTTGGAAATGAAACTTTGCACTGGATTGAATTAGGCCTTGATCCGTGTGGGCAGCCGTATGTCTGTGTGGAGCCCTAGAGTCTATGCAGCTCCCTGGAGATGCAGCAAGCCTCTTGAATGAGTCACAACGTAGGATCAGGGCCCTGCGTAAAAAATAACGAGAGCTTTATGAACATTCAAAGCGCGAGGAGGAAAACAGACTTTTCGGAGGGGAGAAGTATTTGCAGCCTTGCTGTGCTCTGTTCAGTGTTCTCCCTGGCACCCCTTGAGTTACATCACTGCCAACTGGTGCTTCTTTTATCATTTCTCATTAGTCAAGCGTAACATGTTTAAATTGTGTTGGTCTTGCTCTTCCTATTGACACCGTGCAGGCTGACTGCTGCCCACGGCAGCTCCTCTGACTTGACCGGGGCTCTGCCCAAGGGAGGGAATCCACGTGTGCACTGTCCATTGCAAGACTAGACCCTTGAGCACCAAAGCCAGTCTCACGATTTTGTAAGAAAGGAGACTGCAAGTTCTTTATTAAGTTCACAAGTAGGAATACTGGGAGAGAGTTGTCCAGAGTACACCGTGCAGCTCTCTGGTGTCAGAGAATGCGAGGGTAAGGACCCAAAGTTGCACAGTCCTTGATTCACACGGTCTCCAGCCGGCTTTTTCGTTCTGATTCAAAAGCATTACCTCGGTACATAAAACCAACTTGGAAAAGCTATAGGATGTTTATAATCTATAAACCTCCGTCTTCTGCTACCTCAGGATCAGTTGCTTTTCGCTGTGTGTCTTTGCAGGGTTATGTAGCAACGGTTCAGTAATGTTAACCAAAATGTAAATATCATAATGCTTTTTCAAGGCATTTTCTTCCAGGGTTTTAGCAAGCCTATTAAGATGTGTAGGCACACCTTTGTTTTAAAAAGGAGCTGCTGAAATGGTGTGACTTGCATTTATATAGAGCTTTTTCAGTGTTGGGTTAATTTTCAAACTGAACAAGTATATAATACTTTATGTTAAACTATCAAAGAATATTAATAGCAGAGTAACATTGTACATATTTCTTTTAATGGACCGAGATGATGTTATCTTCAAGTTACTGTCATAATACAACAGGTCCCTCACAAAGTACATAGAAATAGTGCTAAGAATCTGTACTCGGCTTCAAAGTTAAAGCTAAAACTGTGTTTTATGTCAACATGAACAAATTCTCAAACACTTGTTTGGTTTTTTTACATATTTGTGCTATGGGTTTCTGTACTCTGTGGCAGTCTCTCCAGCTAATATTTGCTGTTTATCTTTGCACAGTCTCATCTGTTCAACATTTTAATAAGTCTGCTTCATCTCTTCTCTGTAGCTTCTGAATCGCAAAGACAAGGCCACCTTTGAGAAGTTGGACTACTTACTGTCTAAGGAAGATAATTATAAGAGGACACGGGAATACATCAGAAGCTTAAAGATGGTCCCTACTATTCCCTATTTAGGTAAGTGTGAAAACTGGCTCCCGGTGTATGTAGAAATATATTTATTTTCAAAGAAGTATTTGCTGTTCCTGACTGGCAAGTGTTAGTGTGTGTACCTGAAGCAAACCACATATTGAACATGTGGTTCATTTAGTTTTATATTCAGGAAAATTAAATCTAGGGGAGTATTTTAGGCAGTAATACTGTCTAAAATGACTGTGTACTTGGAGAACTGCTGTCTTCTCGTTAAATCTGAAAACATAATTGCATCACTATTTACTGTGGATTGGAGCTCTTTATAATTTTCAAGAGGATTGAGTTTCAGGAATGGTTTAAATTAAAGTGGGTTGATTAGAGAGACACTGAATACCTTTTTGTCCTTTTACTTGCTGGAGCAAGTATTTTAGAATATTTTTTCAATTTTATTCCCCAAATTTTTGCTGAATGGAGTTAGACTACTTTTCAGTGAGTAAAATGGAGATTAGACACAATCTCAAGGGAATGTTTTTCCTGCAGGGCTCCCCATTGTCATAACTACTCTTTATCGCTATTTTCCTTGAACTTTTTGTACGCTCTCTAATGTACCTTTCCTGGGTGTACCTGAATTATGCTGGTTCCTCAGGTGCTGCAGGTTCCAGATTCCTGCTTGGCAAGACAATGCATATACTGGAGAGCTTTTCTTAAAGGTGGATTTTTGTTAAATGTAATTTAAAAGTAAAGTACTTAACCATGTTATTTGCCAGAAGTGCTAAGTTTCTCGGTTGGGTATGTATTTTCTAATGCCCAAATTATCTTCAGAGACAAAAACAGGCATGTTTCTTGCGCAAAGGGTTTTACAATGTAAACGAAGATGTGGCAGCATAAAGGTGTGAATGGAAACCAGAAAGAGTAAGAAAGAGGGGTCCATAGGTTAATTGGTACAGGTACAGACCTGAAAGTTTAGCGTGGGTTTTGTAAGGTGGTTGTCTTTTGTATTGTTTCTTTCTGCTTTTAAGAATTAGCGTTCAGGAGGAAATCTTGGCATGGCTGAATTTAGCTGGGAGTTCTGCCTTTGACTTAAATGGGACTAGACTTTCACTGAATTTAACAATATTTGTTATAGATCCCATGCCTTTATATAAGTAAATGCTTAGTGGCAATAGAAAATTTGCTTACAGAAGCAAAAGTAACAAATACATCTGCTCTTGCACTGGGACTGTGCTGAGTATTAGGTAGCATGGTCCGCATACCTGACTACAGACAGAAGTGACATCCTGAGTACGCGATGGTTGTAAAATTAAGCTGTCAAAAATAAGGACATGCCAAAGCCAAGGTGGCCAAAGCAAATTTAGTACAATTCTCTGCACATGCTTTCTGATTCAGTCTTTAATTACATAAGTGTGTGCTATTTCTTCTGTAGAACCCTGTTCCATTCCTTGTGTAAAATAAGTAGCTTTCCATCAATGCATAACTATTTAATATTCCTTTATCCCCCTCATCAGTCAGTGTGTAGCCCTATGTCTTGTTTACCGCAAAATATGCAGACTCTGCACGGTAAATATAGGGAGTTGTTTCTCATTTTCATATAATTTAACTTCAGTGTGTGTTGAAATGAAGAGGTGGTATTCATTCTGTTTTACAGATGGGGAACAAAGGTATTAAAGCCATATTGTCAAGGGGCTACCAATTTTGGGTGGCAAACTCAAGGCCACTTGATGGTACTTAGTACAGAGTACTTAGTATTTCTACAGTACTTTCTGATGCACAAGTCCAGTCATCTCCCACGTGTTCAGCACTTCTGTAAAGCTAATGCTGGGTGTCCCAAGATGGGTCCCTAGGAATGAGGAACAGGTATCTGCTGGATGCCTGTCTGGAAGTCTGCTTTAACTATGACCAGCATTGCTGAGGACTCGTCAGGCAGAGACTGATATAGAACTCTGTTCTCTGAAGAACTATTCAAATTCCTTAAGCGTGAGAGCATCCTTTCTGGTTTTCACCTTCCAGCTTCTGTACTACGTGAAGCTGGCTCATGCGAGCAATAGCCTCATTCACTGCCCATCCCTGATTCTTGTGCAACTATTTGCTGGACTTAAAGGAATATTGTGATTTAGAAGTTCAAGGTTCAGTAACAGGCTCCTGAACAGTGTGTGCTCCTGAATCTGTTCCCCAGCATGCTCTGCCTTCCCCTGTTCCTCTCCCAAACTCTGCCTGGAGCCAGTTTTTTCTTCTTCCTTGCTCCCAATCTAGTCAGGCTTCATCTTCCTCCTCCATGGAGGGTGGGCAGCAGTTGGGGCAACATCTGAAAGTCCAGGAGAGCTGGTTTGCTAGTTCACAGGAAAGTGTGCATCAGCCCCACAAGCAGGAGGAGCAGGAGTAGGGACTGTTGTGTCCCAGCAGCCGTGAGTTGGAACGTGCTCTTTGCAAGCCAGACGGTCACAGAATTTTGCTCTTCGGTTCTAACAAACCTTTACTAGCACGTGCCGATGAGTCCTTGTGGCACTGGCTCTTTTTGGCCGTTACTACCTACACGGGTATCTTACTAATAACGGGCAATTATAACTGCATAGGCCAAAAAGATAGACCCTACCGCCAGTGGACACTGGAAAGCACCTACCACCATAACTGTGGGATACCCAGCAAAGGACTCCTAACATAGGCTGTTCGTGGTGATGATTCTTGAGGAATACCATTTTGGATTCCCAGGAAGGTGCCGATCCTGCCTGGTGCCACTTCTTACTCTGTGTAAACAAACTGAGGGATTTGTAGACTGCAAGAACCCCAGATAAAGTCATGGCTTAGTCTTGCATGTGCCTGTATATCTTTGAAATATGGAGGGAATCCCCTACAAGATAGACAGCACTGTGTATCTGCATAAGCCTCTAATCTGCTGAGTTTTACTGTGTGCAGCAGGTTTTTTCAGTATCTCGGTTTCTTTGTTGTTCACTGTTGTTCTGTGGATTGACTGTATGTACTTTGGCTTATATCCAGGACACAGGGTACTGTGTTTACTTTAAGTGACTTGTTAAAGGAGTACTCCTAAGGAATCGTCTATAGCAGTGTGTTTTTAAATCCAAGAGGTATGTATCCATCAGGGTCAGATCCTTACCAAACTGTGACTTACAGGCAAGACGTGTTACCTGTCTCCACAAAACCATAACAGCAAAGCAACACGCCGTTGCTAAGGCTGGGGCGTTTGCTCATTTAACCAAGTATGCTGATCATGGATAACCTGTTTTGGAAACTAAAAGGAGCTTTCAGTAAGGAACCAACTTTAGGTGAGGTTTGGATTCAGATGATGAGGCAAAGGGCAGTTACTGAGAATGTTTCACTGTATTTATGTATCTAAGGGAGTTAATTTATATAATTGTTGGACATGCAAATTTGCA